AAATTTATTAACTGTATGGTCCCGGGAAAGTTCTATTTATCTCAGTTTACTGTTCCATAAGGGGATAATAGTGGAACCCACTTCCCAAGGATGTTGTGAGGATCACATTATTGTAAAGTGCTTAACATAATGACTGGCACATGCCAGACACAACATTATTATTATCTCTCTAATTTAATGTAATTGTTCCATACCTAATAACTTTGAAGTAGTTTTAAAATACCAAAAATAATAAGACCGATAAGTTCTATATGTGATAATTTGAAAATGCAATTGATGTCATATGAACTTTATTGTATGTGTTATTGCTGTATTTCTAAAGTGTATTTCTATAATTCTCTTAGATCGGAAAACTTGAGAGGCCATTGTGAGGTGGAAATGGTGTTAAAGTGATTTTTAATCTGGATTTTGTTGCATATGAATTGGCCTTTTTTTTAAAAAAAAAAGAATGCGATAAAAAAAAATTTAAAACTGTTAACATGTAATGAGGTATATTTGGTTATAAACAAGTAATAATAATAATACTGATATTATGAGAGCAGAGTTTTCATTTGAAATCTTGGCTATTATATAAATATATAAGGTGGTTTCAGGTTGTAGTTTCAACACATTAATGATGAGATGAATGATTCTCTGTGCAAGGTGATTTAGAAATGTATTTACCTAAATTGATAATGGGTTGTTTCAAGTTTTAAATACATAATAATGTGTAGGATATTGTTACATTTCTACATTGTGTAATTTGGTCAACAATTGTATCACCTATGTTGTTAGAAAGGCAATTTCTCTTATAATCTAGATGTTGTTAGATTAAGAATTATACTGTCAGAAAGAAAAAAAATGAATGGATTAGGAAGCTATTAGATCATTCTATGTGACCATATGTTGTAATATTTTGAAGCATTGTAATTTAAGAAATCATAACTTCCAAGTTTTGTCTGTATTTTAAAGGGAAATTTCAGCTAAAATTATTTGGTTCTCACTTGTGAAAATTAAGATTGTTTATTTGGAGTTATTGGAGTTAAATCAAATATTTACAAAAGTATTTTTGTGAAAGGAAATTTGGTAATTATGGAAAGAAAAGACCTTGTAAAATCTTGTAATTAATTTAGTTTGTTACAGTAACAGGATAAATTGTAAGCTGTTTTTAAGAAAGGGAAACACTTTTAAGAAGAAATGTTTTGCAAAACTTTGGTGTGATTTTTAGAAGGCCTACTAAATTTCCATTTGCAAGCTAATTTGTTGCAATAATGATTTGATATTAATGACAATTATGTCCAAACCTACTGTGAATTTCGAGTTTCATTCCTAGATTTGTTGTGTCCTTGAACTGGCCTTTAAAGGGTGCTTTCTGAGAAACAGAGTCAGAGTCAGCAGCTCAATTGGAGCATCATCAGAGGTCTAAGGCTAGTGATTAATACTAAGGCAGTATGAGCTGTAATACTAAAACAGAGTAAGCTGTAAGTGGAGAAGATCTTGCTATTTTGATCTGAATTTATTCCATGGCCTAGCAAGGGTTAAAATTAGTGTTTGAACTTATATGTACAAGATTCAATTCCTGAAGTATTTTATGTTGTTATTTAATCAGGGACTAGAACATGTGTGGGAATGTATGCAAACTACTTAAGGCTCACCTTAAAAATGTTCCCAACCAAAGATTATCGTCACATATCTGGAATGCTGATTGTTAGAACTTGCTATTCAAGACCTTATGGTACTGTTAACTGATGCTATTCTGAATCTGACCCTAGGTATGATCATCAAGGAAAGCTATTGAGCCACTGATCCGTGATGCCAACGACCCTGTGAGGGTCCATGAACTGCATCTATGAACTGCAGAGGATGGTCTCATGGGAAAGTTGGGAAAACAACTTTGGCATGAGCTGAGGTAGGATTCTCCTGTCTCAATTTTCCCAATATGAATATCCAACTTGGCAGAATTAAGCCTGGCTTAATTCAGTTGGCTGTCTGGAATTGACATGAAGTTAGGGAAACAATATTCCCTTACTATAGTTATTTCCTTATTCTTTTATGGCAATTTTCTATAATCAAAAAGTTTTATAACACAATATTAAGTCTGTTAAATAATAGATCGATGCTGGAATGTCTTCGGTTATTATAGTAAGATGCCTGAATTGATATTATCCTACTCAGGTTTGGGTGGAGACAGATTCTCAAGACTGGGGGTGGTATTTCCTTGATGGTAGGTGATATCAGCCCCTTTTGATTAAGTAACCTAAGTCATTTACTCAAGACTTCATCTTAATATAGCCCAGTTTTGGACTGAACTCCCATGCAATGCATGTCAACCCAGCTTGAGAGAAATTAAACCGTGGACACACACACCCTAATTTGTTTGTCTCTTTCTTAGAACAGATTCTATAATTTATTGGAGTCTGATAGTACCTAATTGCTAACCCCATCCTTTCTTGTAAAAGGTGCCAAGTCTAGCTAAAAAAAGCCAAGGCACTGAATGGGAGACATAGCAATACTAATCTCTTTCATTAATGGGGCCATTTTCATCAATAGGAAACTGAAAGCCCTTTGTCAATTAAAGCTAGCTGCAGGACTCACTTTTCTCTCAGTTAAAGTTCAACCATGACAAGTTTCTGTGGAGCACCTACCAGATGTAAGGCATTTTGCTGTATACGACATAAAGATGAATAAGACAGGGATCCTGCCCTTCAAAAAGCTTCCAATCCATTAACTCCTTTTGGCAAGGAAGAAAGTTATCAAGAATCATGGAATCACTTTTAGAGTTGTGAGAAATCTTAGAGATCATGAAGTCCAACTCTTCCATTGAAAATATAAAGAAACTGAGAGCCAGAGTACAGGGCAGGGTGATCAGAATGGGTAAAGTTTGATCTAAACAAACAAAACACACACACACACACACACACACAATCTTTTACTGCTATATAGCATAATGAAATGTAACAAGAAATGATGAAGCCTCATATTTTAACGTATCAGCAGGATGAGTTGAGTATTGTTGGCTAAGGGTGTCAGTGTAGTTAATGCTTTTCTAATATTTTTGCTGAAATCACTGACCTGAAGAGGAGACATCTCGTAGCAGTTTTCATCTTGAATCATTTGTAGTGATCAGGGTACAAGAGGCAGATGAGGTTTAATGGTCTCTGGCATTCTTAGAAGTTAAGAGTATTTAACTAGAAAGCAGAGAACTTCAAAATGGACTTGAAATTGCTTTGACATGCTAAAAGCATTGGATAAAAGTAAGGTGTAATTATTATCAGACCAAGCCTAAATAGGTGAGCAATGAGGCAAAGAACAGTGGCTTTTTAAAATTTTGTGGTGATCTCTGCTAAACCATTCCAGAATTTCAATTGCATTGTTCCAATGTCCCATCCTAAGTGCATGACTTTAGAAGAGAAATTAGGTGGCAGGCTAATTAGAGGCAGGAAACTGTTCTCAACAAAATAAAAACTGCCCCTCAACAAAGATCCCAATACAGAGCCTTTTGGGGAGGAGTGTTTGGAAAGCCTTCTTCTGATGGGGTGCTTAGGTGCTTGTGCTTGTACTTGGACCCCAATTCCTTCCAAGTCCCAGAAACACCGTCTCTGACAACCACTCCCCAGCCCAAGGACACTGTGCCTAGCAGTTATTCATGCATGGGCCTCAGCACAACCCTTATCTGGGCTGCTCAGGCCCCAGCCCTCAGATCATGTATCTGGAAGCCTCCCAATTCTCTAGTTGTGAGAAAGCTTTCCTTTGTTGCAGAGCATTCTCTCATCAAGACAGAGGGAGAGGGGTGTCCTTGACCTGCCCAAGGACTCTTCCTCTTGCCAGACTCCAAAGAACCATCCCCCTCCCTGTCCGGTATACTCCCTGTACTTTCCCATCCATAGCCCCCAAAGACACCTGCACCTCTGGATTACCTCATCAGTGTTCCTGGCATTTCTTTCCCAGGCTCTTTTCCATATAAACCATAGCTGCATTCTCAGTCTCTTGCAGGATCCTTTAAGAATCCTTGCCTGCTGAAAAACGTAACAATAAATCTTTGCCTCCTTGAATTAAAGAATGCTTGAGTCTGTGAATTCATTCCGGACTACCCGTCTTGTACTTCAGTCTTTGAGGGTCACAACCTCTCAACCTCTCAGACTGCAACACTTCCACCTATCATTTTCATTTCTTCAGTAACTCAGAACTTTAAGAAAGGTTGGGACAGACACAGAAACCTAAGCTCTAGTCCTGGCTTTGCACTAAATAGCCATGTGACTTAGGGCAAGTTATTTCACCTTTGATCTTCATTTTCCTCAACTGCTCTGATTTTCTTTGCTGTACGAACACCCCATTTAGTGCAGCAAGGGAAGCCAGGGCTGTTGAGCCATGAAGACAGCTAGGCAGTGGCTATAATCAATCGCCGTTTGTTATACATCAGCCTCTCTCCCATGCTCTTTTTACACATATCTAATACATAAAGCCAGGGAGAAACAAGATTTTTCCTGGATTATATGAGACCAGCCCTGATATTATTGCTGAAGCAAAACCACAGTGTTGGAAGGGGAAGAAAGAAGACAGACAGGAGCTTGTTACAGCAGAATAGCACGTCTGCTAAGTTCAGCTGTTCCTGGGAATTTTTCTCTTCATGTCTGTGTGTATGTGAGCCCCAGTGCTGTATATTTTCTCCAAGGGAGGCTTGCATATGGGCTGTGTTGCCAAATGGCCCTAGATCTGAGGCACAGGGAACACCATGGGGATTTTATGGTGAATGAATCTGGCAAGGTCAGTGAGAGCAGCATTTCTGACAGTACTTTTTCCCTAAGGCAGTTCAGTGTCAGGGGTTTGGAGGACCATGATGGTCAGAGGTCACAGAGAGAGGCTGGACCACCCTCTGGATGACCTGTCCTCTAGATTTAGAATTCTATAAAATTCAATGATGGCTAAAAGTTGCTGTCAGAGAGCTAATTATTCCTTTACCGAGGTCTCTCTCCAGACAATAGTCAGTCGACAAGTATTTATTAAGAAATTACAGTGTTGTGCCAGGTATTGTTCTGGGCATTGGGGATACAAAGAGTAGCAAAAACAGTCCTTGCCCTCAAGGAGTTTTTGTTCTAATGGGGGAGACAATATATAAATATTTAGGTAGATATAGGATCTATACAGAGCCAGTGTAAAGTAATCTCAGAGGGAAAGACACTAGGATCTGTAAGACTGAGAAAGGCCTCTTGCAGAGGGTAATATTTGAGCTGAGTCTTGAAGGAATTCTGCCAGGGAAATGGAGAAGTGTAGGTGAGGGGAGCAGTGAATTCTGATTCATCTTCATTCTTGCTGATGATTCCTTTGTTAGTGGTCCTTGATGTTAATCTTCCTTGCTGCTTTCTTGGCAAGCAGTGTGGACCACAGGCTTCGTGTTAACTAAGATTGTGTTAACTTTAGAAAAGCCAGGTGCTACCATATTGCTTATGTATGCCGGGTTCATGTTCTTCATGAGCAAACATAGCCAGAAGAAGGAATAAGGAAAAAGACAAATCTATTTTAATGAAGCTTCCAGGTTAGATTTGCAAGCCCACTAAATTCGCAAAACTACCCAGAGCTCAGAGAACTTCATATCATTAAAAATATTAATACTGTACTGAGTTTTAGGCATAAGCCTACTAGAAACAATTTTTATTAATGTTAATGGCTAGCATTTATGGAGTGCTTTAAGATTTGCAAAGTATTTGACAAATATTATCTTCTCCTGACAGTAGTCCTGGGAAGTAGGTGCTATTATTAGCTGGTGGCACAGTGGATAGAATGTTGGACATGGAGTTAGGAAGACCTGAGTTCAGAATCAGTTGCAGACACTTAGCAGCTGTGTGATGTGGATTAACTCACTTAACTTTGCCTGTATCAGTTTCCTCATCTGTAAAATGGGGATAACAATAGCAACTACCTCACAGGGTTATTGTTGTGAAGATCAAACGAGATGATATTTGTAAAAGTGCTTAGTAGGCTCTACATAAATGCATATTCCCTTCCTTTTATTATCTTTATTTAACAGATGAAGAGATAGAAAAAGGTTAAGTGATTTGTCCACACGGCTAATAAATTACTGAGTCCAGATTTGAACTGAGATCTTCCTTACTCCAAGGCCAGTGAGCGATAGCATTAATATAAATTCAAGCAATGTCCTGCTTGAGTGAGACATGTATATCCTCAGACATGTTCCTAATATAAGACATTTTGAAAAGCAATATTTGTAGGAATCTTGAACAAAGAAAATTTCAAAATATGATGAAACCTAGATACACAGTTTAGGACTGATATTCTATTTCAGCTAATAGAACAATGGTCATTCAATCTTTCCATCTTATGGGAACTCCCTTAGAATTCAATCCCTCTTTGACCACTCCCCACCAAGATTCTATCCCTCAGTTGGTCACTGGGTGATTGGTTGGTGTCCAGAAGTAACCTAGAGACAGCCTCCTTTTGACCCATACCTTACCCTTCAGGGGATGGGGAAATAAGATTTTGCTTTTAAGTAGATCTATCAAGAGTCACTAGCTTTTGTCCTTGGCCCAGTTACTTCAAGGAAGGAATCCTTCCTGATTTGGAAAGAGGGGAGCAGGAAACTGTTTTGGAATTAATAAAGAAAAATTGATAAGATTTCTCTTTTTAAGTGTTCCAAAGACTAGAATAATTTTAAAATTCTTTCCTAATATTTCCAAAAAGGGGAGCAAAGGGCTTTCTCTACTTCTATCGTATCAAAGCCTTTAACATTTCTTTTTATCCATTGCAGTGATCCCAGGAAATGTTCCTTCGCACCTTACATCATCTGAGGTTTGCAGCCTTTACTTCAAATGGAAAAGCTTCAACTTCTGAAAAAGTGACGAATTCAACTTTTCCAGGGACTGTCTAGGGATTGTAATCCAGCTCAGTTTTGAGTAATTTCCAACAGGGCGAGACAATAGAGGGGAAACAGGGAAAATGTAAATTTTTTAAAATTACACAGTCTTGTCCATAAACCTGCCAAATGCTTGGTTTGTTTCTTCCTAGTCATGGAGCCTATTGAATGAAAAGAAATAATGAAGTGGCAGAAAAAATGCTGGATTTAGAATTAAGAAACTTAGATTTAAATCTGGACTCTATTTGCTACTTGTGTGACCTTAGACAATTCACTTAGGTTCTGTTTTCTTACTCACAGCTTACTATTGTATACAGAGTTAATGTGAAGAATGCCCTCTACAAACTCTAAAAATTCCACATAAAAGTAAGTAGTTGTTATGTATGCCTCAGTTTGGTTTCCCCTTTGGGTTGGGGGGTCCTATCCCAACTTAAAAAGTTACAGTTTTGTTATTTATTTATTTTAATGATATATATATTATTAATATATTTATTATTATTATGTAAATCTAAATATATTTAGATTGAACCCTAGCCCCCAAACACAACTTTCACTATCTCAGCTCCTACTCCCATTGGCAGGCTGAGTACCCAGAAGATGGCTGACTATTGTTCATCTTAGGGTTCTAGGAGTAATCCTGATGGGTTGTGTTCTAGAAGGACATAGCACAAGCCCCTATCTGGTGTGGTCCCCATACCAATCACCCAGATGATACCAATTAGCTTTTCCAAAGAGTCATTTACTCTGAATGTATAGTAAAGAGAGAAGTTAGAAAAACATCCTCTAACCCAGAAGCGGTCCTCTGCACACACAATCTCACAGAAGATGGGACTCACACTTGAAGTACAAAGGCATTAGGCACATATAGGGAACATGTGGGGCTAAGGGACACCTCTTGGACTTGGGAGCCTTTAATGGCTCTACTGGATCTTCTAAATCCACTGACCCTCTTTCTTAGAATATTCATTCACCTAAGATCAAGTAAAAAGAAATAAAAGAAACAGAGGCACCGTATGCTTAGGAATAGATGATGGCAGAGTGGAGGATGGGACTACTGATGCCCTTCTGGCACCAACCAGCTTACTGTAGTTCTTGCTTCAGTCATTGTCAGTAGGGACAACACAAAAAGCTGAGAGATAAATGTGTCAGTCTTTTGCATGCAAACTCAATTCCAGCTGTGTGCCTCCTGAGTCATCGGTCCATCTGGCTCTGAAGACAAATAGAAAATTGAGGGTTTTTTTCTTCACCACGCTGACTTCCAGTTTCACATGGCGCATTGGCAATAGCCACAGAACACCTGTGATGCCAAAGTAGTCTGTGCTACCCCATTACAATAAGGCTATCTGTACTCTCAAATGGATATGTACTCTCATTTATGTGAGTATCCCCTCCCATTTGATTGGGGGTAATCAATAGAGCCCGCAATCTCTTAGACTAGGAGTCAGGCATGCACACTTTAACTCTGTGGAGAGAGATATGTGCTCTTACTTAGTTCTGAAGAACTTGTACCATCTCAAGGACCACGTTCCCAAAGGTACCTTTCTTCTGGCCCCTTGCTAAAGAGCATGGGAAACCAGAGGCTCCTGGTTGTTCCATTGGTCCCCAGGAAAAGGGCACAGAAAGAGACTGTAACATAGAAGACTGATGACTGAGCCCACTCTGTAGGCTTAAATGAAGAGGGCAAAGTCTCTGTCCCTCTCTTCCTCTTCTCTGAATATGTGACTTTGGGATTCTAAGAACTCTCCATTGGACTTCCTGTGGCAGTGAGGGATAGCTGTCCTCTCCTACCCCAAAATAGCTAGGGCGGTTACACAAACATGGCAGTTAATATGCGTGCTGACTCAACTGAGCCTAAGGTTAACCCTCAAGTCCCTTAGCTGGCTCTTCTGCTTTGGTTTTTTTTTTCCACCTGAACACAGATGACTAAATAGCAACATTGAAATAGCTTGACTACCTCATGAGCTCAAGAGTTCCAGAGTCCAGATGCTGACTGGCTGTTGAAGGTACACCACTTTTAGGGAAGGAGATAAACCGATAGGATCATTCTGGAATTCCAAAGTCCAAGCCATGACCTGACTGGCCAGAAAACCTGGACTTTCAGTTATTCAGAAGTCCTTGATGGTAGGAAAATATAATGAAAGTGATGGGTTATTAATACTTTTGTATGTGTTTGTCAGCTATTATAAGTCCTCTGAAATGGATTATTGTGTCAAGTTCTAAGTATTTGTCAACTTGTCCTTCTGAGTCTTTTGAATTTTAAATATTCCTTTTGTGGCGGAGAAAATAAATATCTACTGGTATCTACTATTTTGTACATGGAGTAACTTTTCTAAAAGAGACATCTATTAATCTCTTTGGAGAAGACTATAGATATGAATCAAACCTAAACTTTATTTAAGAGATTTCTCCCAGGAATGAAGTGGCATAATGAACCAGAGAATGTGAGAAAAAGCCTGAAATCCCTCTCTTGGGGCCAGGTTCCTCACCGGACTGAAACCAGATCTACTTGAGACCAGGGCCAGGGCCCCTGGGAGAGGGTCCCCACCACTTCCCAGACCACGTGATGCCATAGCTGCCCAACCTATGTAACCTTGTCCATGTCCTCCCATAAGTTCACCAAAGGGATATACCAGGGAAGTGCTAGTAAATGTTTAACAACTAGCTTTCACACACACATACATATGATATACATGATACACACTTTTAAATTTAATCTGTATTACGAGCATTTTCTTCATCACTTTCTTAAGTCTAAACAATCAATAAAACAATAAATAAGCCCTGATGTGCAGCATTCCCTAATTTCCCAGGTGTAAATGCTCACACTGAAAATTCAACAATCAGCTCTTGGGAACTAGTTTGAGCGGGATCCACTCAACATGCTAAAGGCCTATCTCATTTTCTCTTGAAATCACCAGGACATTCTTGGAATACATATTTATCATCCCTCGCTGTTGCCATGTGACCAGCCCATCTTCTTTTCTGCTCATATACCTTTGATGACATTCTTTATGCCCCTGCATGGCCACTCTGAGTGATAACTCATTTTCAACTCTTCAGAGACTGTTGTGTTCCATGACTCAGAACAACATAAAAGAATTTTTTATTTGGATCAGAAGACTTTACTTTTAGGGGTCTCCCTATGAAGAAACTTCTTTTTCTCCTTGCAGATCTGTAACCGCTGTGATTTACATCCTTAGAGAGTTGCCTGAGGTACTGAGAGGTTAAGTAATTTGTTAAGGTCATATAGCTAGCATTGTAAGGGTTGGGTGTTAAGTACGGTCTTTCTGACTCAGAGGCCAGCTTTCTGTTCACTAAATAATGATAAGAATAATAACATCTGTATAGCTCTTACTATGTACTGTGTACCACTGTGCTAAGTGCTTTACAATTATCTCATTTGATCCTTATAACAACCCTGGGAGGGTAGGTATTATTATTACCCCCATTTTACAGATGAGGAAACTGAAGTAAACAGAGATTAAATGACTTACCCAGGGCCACACAGCTAGTAAGTGTCTGAGGCTGGATTTGAATTCAGATCTTCCTAACTCTAGGCCTAGCGCTCTATCCATTGTGTCACCTAGCTGCCCATACTGCCTCTCACCTCTAAAATGCTTCCATTCAAAGGATGGGTCTTTGTTTCAAGGAGAATGGGAATTGTTGTTGTTCAGTTGTTTTTCAGTTGTGTCTGATTCTTAATGACTCTGTATGGGATTTTCTTGGCAAAGATACTGGAGTAGCTTGGCATTTCCTTCTCCAGCTCATTTTACAAAAGAGGAGTTAAGTGACTCGTCCAGGGTCACACAGCTAGTGAGTGTTCGCAGCCAGAGTTGAACTCAGAAGAGGAGTCTTCCTGACTCCAGGCCCAGCACTCTATCCACTGCACCATTTAGTTGCCCCCAGAATGGGAGTGGGGGACATTAAAGAACTTTGAAAATTCCCCAAAGCAATCTATTCTCTTCCTCTTATTTCATTCTGGGCCCAACTCATTGTCCATTTGCTGTATCTCTCTCTCTCATACACACACAGACACACACAAATATATTCACATATATTTATGCTGATGTATATCAGTGTATCATTATACTGATACACGTCAGTATATCCAACTCTATAGTTTCACTGCCCAACTTCACATCAGAGTACAGACAACAGATATTCTTCATTCACTTGACTTTTCCTCTATGGAACAATCGTATCAGTCTGAATTTAGATTACACGGTTTCACCAAATCTAGACTGACACGAAGCCAGAGTGTAGCTTGTAATCCTGCACAGCCAAGGCTTAAGCCCTCATTGGCTTCCCCAGCAGTGACAGCTTTCCAACCAGTCCACACATGGGGTAAAGGGCCCTGTGCCAGATGTCCCCATTGCTGGTGCTGCGAGGTAAGGGAGGCGGATGCCCCCTGCATGTTCAGTGACTGCAAGCTTCCCTGCCTGAACCCCTAAGAGGCAGGGATCTTCCTGCAAAGTCCATCAAATCTTCCTTCCTCCCTCTCAATCTCTAGATTGTGGAGAATATTACAGTGCAAAGTAGATAATGAAGATAATGAGAGGGAGCCCCCTCCCTCCCACGGCTCAAGCTCTGCTTCCCACCTGTCCATGGTTCAAGGATCGTCACCTTTCACCTACATTATTGCAACGGTCTCCTAAATAGTCTCCATGCCTAAAGTCTCTCAGCAGTCCAGTCCATCCTACACACTGTTACCAGAGTTATTTTCCTTAAGCACAAATGTGACCATGTGATTCCCATACTCTACCAACTTCAGTGGCTTCCTCTTGCAGCTAGGATAAAATAGAAGCTCCTCTGTTTAGCTTGTAAAGCCCTTTACAACCTGGCCCCAACCTATCTTTCCAGCCTCCTTGAACATTGCTTCCCTTCTTGCATTCTCCAATCTAGCCAGACTGGCTCCTTGATTCCTCACTCGGGAAACTCCACCTCCTATATCTGTGCCTTTGCAGTGGCAGCCCCCCAACCCTGGGATACAATCTGTCCTCACCTCCACCACCATCTTCTACATGAAACCTTTCATTAGCCCCCCCCAACTACTAATGTCCTCCCTCCTAAACTACCTTGTATTCAACACACATGCATGTGAGTGTATGCATAGACACAATGCATGTTTTATGTGTTTTATGATACATATAACATACACAGCATGCACTTGCACACACATGTGTATACATGCATGTATCGCAACATATAAAGTAATATATGTATGTACAAACGTTGTAGGCAATATGTTGTATTGTATATATAACCGAAGTTACATGTTTGTAGACATACACATATGTACACACATGCGTGTATATATACATACACATGCCAGACACACATAAATAACACAAATGAACATACTAAAATGAAATATATATATGGTATCCCCAAGTCATGTGATATACTCACACATATAATGACATACACACTAGTATATATATTTATAAGGTATAGCAAAAGTCTTTTAAGCTTTAGTAGTTAAAAATGCGCTAAGACTTTTGGAATATCATATATGTATGTGTGTGAGTATGTACATACACAAATTAACTTTATATTTATGCCTGATATATTTTACATATACTTGTGTAGCTCATTAATAATAATAATGATAATAATTATCATAGCCAGCATTTATATAGCACTTTAAGGTTTGCAAAGTGTTTTATAGATGTTAACTCATCTGATTCTCACAACAACCCTGGAAGCTAGGTGCTATTATTATCCCTATTTTGCAGAAGAGGGAATTGAGGCACAGAAAAGTTAAATGACTTGCCCAGGATTCTACAGCTAGTAAGTGTCTCAGGCAAGATTTGAACTTAGGTCTTCCTGACTCCAAGTCCTACACTCTATCCAAATTGACTCTCCTTATTGTCAGCAGGGATTGTTTCATTCTTTGTGTTTTCCCCTGCACCTGACTCATAATAGGCTTTGAAAAAATACTTGTTCCAGTTTTAGTAGATATAAAACCGGGGAGCGTGGGAGTGGGCAGAGGGAGATAGGCATGGCTCTGTGCTGCTGCTCACAACTGAAAATGTGATTCTGTGGAATTTGAGTTGCACAGTGTCACAGAGCAGTTGAAAGAGAGGGGGCAGGAGTATTGATTTATATGGAATAGTGGGATTTCCAAGTGTAAAGTCTGTGGGTGAATGTTGCCCACATGCATTACGAGTCCATAAAGGCTCTTTCTAGATGTGATTCCCAGGAAAACA